TCTTTGGTTTTTCCTTTCTGGATCATCACGGATAGAATAAACTTCTTCTTTACAATATGGACAAACTTTATAGCCGGTGAGTGCTTCAACGTCTGTTATTCTGTCAGCGTGAAGTTTTCCACATGGACTCTGTGTTAAAAAATATTTACTGTTTCAAATTCTGGATCTATCATTATTGATTCCACTAATGGAAAGTCTACCTTATTTATGTCCACGTCTTCTGGTTGAGGATCACAATAATAGAAATCAATATTAACATTTAACATTCTCGCTAATCTCTCACTTTCTGATGAAATGTCAAACCCTTCATATGCATCTATTGCTTCATTTAAATAGCTTCTACGAGTTTTAGGATTAACACCATCAGGAATGTTATAGAAGCGTTTAAATAACCTTCTACCTTCTGCTCTAATTTGATTATCATTCATTTTAGCTGTTCCGTTTTTGTTCATTTACGTAAGAATAAAAAATTAAAAAATAAATAAAAATAAAGTTTATTTTTTAAAGCCCATAAAATGAATTAAGAACACATAAATTTTTATCATCTGCGACGTGACGAATACATTTTAATTTACTCAAGAATGCGTACCCTGATACATTAAATCTAATTCCTGTCTTATTTAATTTCACAACTTTGAAAAGGAATGTATGAATAGCTATAAAATGATGAGAAGATGTTTTATGGGTTGCTTCCATTTTTTCTGAAATAAATGAATAAATATAATGCTTATACGTTTTCATATCTTTTATATTCTTAATAACGAATGGTATAGACCTTTCCACTTCATCTTCCTTCGGTGCTGTTCTTTCATATGAAACATTATTAGTATCTTCAACAATGAAACCGCAATCACATAAAATTTTATATGTTCCAATGGTTTCTTTTGATATTTTATCTAATAAATCAAAAACTTTATCAACACCCGTGCATTTATTTAAATAATAATTTGTGTAAATATCATGATCTTCTTTCTTAATCGTATTAGTTGCATATGTCACGTTTTTAAGAGCTTTTTTGAATTTTTCGGAATCTAAAGGTGGTGAAAATAAGATACAAGGGTATTCTTCATTATCAATAAATTGAAACTTATGTTTACGTATAAATTTAGTACCTTCTTCTGAAAGTGTTTCGTCTATTTCACCATCTAATAAATTTTGTGTTGATTCTGAGACATAATTTTATATCTTTCTTCATGAGATTTCTGTACTTCTGATTCTGAAGCTGGGATATTCGTTAAACCCTCTACTTCATTTTCATTATATTTTTCAACTTCTCTTAATTCCTTAATTTTTTCATCTATTTCATCTCTTATTTTTTTAGTCTTTCAATTTCATTGTATTCATCATCTTTAATCCGTTCTTCATAATATTCAGGGAAAACATCAGGTTCTTTAGGTTTTTCTTCTTCAGATGTGGGATATAAGAAATTTATAACATCATCTTTATTCATTTTTCCATCATAATCTAAATCATTTAATAACTCGGCAAATTTTTGACAATTTCTTAAATAATATTTATTAACTTCATAACCTACCTCCTCTAATATATCCTTTATTTCCTCGTTTGTGAATCCTAATTTTTTAACGTTGTTAGTTTTGACGCTCATTTCATACAAAATAAAAAAAATAAAATAATAAACATAACTAAGTTTTAATTTTTCGTAAGAAGTTTATTTTTTAAAAAATTTTTTTATTTCATTCTGGTAGTGAATCTTTTATTCATGAAAATAATTATTTCTAATTTCTTTTACTCTCTCGTATAAAAAAAAAAAAAAAAAAAAAAAAAGGAAGTGGGGCTTCCAGGCACTTCGTGCCTTCTAGCCCTAAGAATTTTTCCCAAGACCCAAGAGGAGGACCGAACCCCAGCCGACCAGCCGTTGACTTTTTTGTCATGAATTTCATCGTAAATGTTTTGTCAAGACTTCATCGTAAATGTTTTGTCAAGACTTCTTCGTATATGTTTTGTCAAACATGAACGTATATGTTTTGTCAAGACTTCTTCGTAATGAGCGTAAATGACCCAAAAATAATGTTTATGTTAGAATGTTAGATCTAACACGTTTTCTAACATGTTTTCTAACATCGTAGAAAACTCATGATTTCTTCGTAAATGCTTTGTCGAAACTTCTTCATCGTAAATGTTTTGTCATGATTTCATCGTAATGAGCGTAAATGACCCAAAAATAATGTTTATGTTAGAATGTTAGATCTAACACGTTTTCTAACATGTTTTCTAACATCGTAGAAAACTCATGATTTCTTCGTAAATGCTTTGTCGAAACTTCTTCATCGTAAATGTTTTGTCATGATTTCATCGTAATGAGCGTAAATGACCCAAAAATAATGTTTATGTTAGAATGTTAGATCTAACACGTTTTCTAACATGTTTTCTAACATCGTAGAAAACTCATGATTTCTTCGTAAATGCTTTGTCGAAACTTCTTCATCGTAAATGTTTTGTCATGATTTCATCGTAATGAGCGTAAATGACCCAAAAATAATGTTTATGTTAGAATGTTAGATCTAACACGTTTTCTAACATGTTTTCTACCCTCTTGAATTTTCATGACAAAACATATACGATGAAGAAGTCATGACAAAACATTTACGAAGAAGAAGTCTTGACAAAACATTTACGAAGAAGTCATGACAAAACATTTACGAAGAAGTCATGACAAAACATATACGATGAAGAAGTCATGACAAAACATGTACGAAGAAGTCATGACAAAACATTTACGATGAAGAAGTCTTGACAAAGCATTTACGAAGAAATCATGAGTTTTCTACGATGTTAGAAAACATGTTAGAAAACGTGTTAGATCTAACATTCTAACATAAACATTATTTTTGGGTCATTTACGCTCATTACGAAGAAGTTTTGACAAAACATAGACAAGAAAGTTCATGAGAAATTAGACAAGAAAGTTTTGACAAAACATTTACGATGAAGAAGTTTCGACAAAGCATTTACGAAGAAATCATGAGTTTTCTACGATGTTAGAAAACATGTTAGAAAACGTGTTAGATCTAACATTCTAACATAAACATTATTTTTGGGTCATTTACGCTCATTACGATGAAGAAGTTTTGACAAAACATATACGATGAAATCATGACAAGATAGAATATGAGAGAGGTCCTATAAACTGAACAAAAAGTGTCATACAAACATCTGTCAAAAGCCGCTTTTTAACTTCACTTAAAATGCCACGTAAGCTACGTAAGAATATACGTAAGAGGAAGAGAGCATTGAAACATCCAATAGTAAGACTAACACCACAACAACAGTTGCAACAACAAATGATGAATGACCCCACTATGTTGCAACAAATGTCAAGCAATCCTATGCTTTTAAACCGAGTTCTTGGTGCACAGAGTGGAGGTTTAAGAGCGGCACTTTTAGCGAAAATGGCAGGCTATGGTGGAGCTGCAGACGGAACAGCCTATAACCCTCAAAGTCAAATGAATTTGAGTTCACTCAAAAATCAAATAACAGATGTCAAAAAGTCAAACATAGACATACAGAAGCAAATAAGTGAAAACGAAAAGAAACTAGAATATGACAGACACACAAAGAAACTCAATGAGTTAAACGTAGAGAAAAAGAAGAAAGAAGAACAACTGAAAGAACTAAGTACAGAGGAATATGCGAAAAAAGTGTCAGAAAAAGCAGCAGAAGTAGCAAAAATGGAACAAGATGTTGTAAATTTGAAAAACCATACTACTCAATATAAAGTACTGAAAGATGAAGAAATAAAACAAAAAGCCCTGAAGACATATATGGATAGCGATGAGTATAAAAAAGAAGTTGAAGCAAATGTAAAGGCAGAAAAACTTTTACAGTTGCAAAACCAAACCGTACAGTATGAAAACTTAGCACAAGAAAGTAAAAATAACGACGCAGCCATGCAAAAGGCAATGAAAAGCGCAGAATATATAAAAGCTAACAATGACTGGTTAGATGCCCAAGCCAACGCTAAAGCAGCCCAGCTTATAGGGTCAATAAGGACAAAAATACAAGCGGATGAAGACAGTTCAAATGAAGCTTTAACAAATGCTGACTTTAAGAACGCCTTCGAAGCTCTTCATAGTAAGGTGAAACAAGTGAACGACTTCTCATCTGGAAAGAAACTGAAGTCTGAAGGTTTCGACAAAGAGTTAAAAGAAGTAGCACAAAATATGACGAAAATAACAGATGCAGCAACGAGACAGGCAGTTCAAAGTGCCTATGACGCCGTTAGAGCAACTGTTGTGGAAAGTCAAGAAAAAGAGTTACAACAGACCAAAACAGACCTAGTAAATGCTTTCTTAAGAACGAAAAGTCAGGTAGGACATTACGCTGCAGATGGAACATATGTGCCAGCTGGTGGAACTTATATACCAGCTGGTGGAACTTATATACTAGCTAGTGAACTTATATACCAGCTGGTGGAACTTATAACTAGCTAGTGGAACCTATATACCACCAAACCCTCCAAGAGAAGCACCTGCACCAGGACTACCTAAAACATTTACATCGTCACATGGACACAGACACAGGCATGCACCAAAACCAACACAACAACCAACAGTTCAAAATCCAGCACAACAACAACAACAACCAACACAACAACCAACACAACAACCAACACAACAACCAGCACAGCAACCAACAGTTCAAAACCCTGCACAACAACAACCACAAACAGAGCAAGGACATAAAAGAAGTAGAGAACAAGGAAACCAAGAATTCTTAAAAATGCTTAAAGAAGAGTGTGGTTTCCCAGATACTGTTGACTTTAGTGACAGATATAAAGAAGCTATTAGAAAGTTCAAGGATGGAAATACTGACCCGAACCTATTTAGCTTTATGGCTCAGCACCAAAACGGATATAATCTCAAACCTGGAAAATACAAGCTCGCTAAGGGATATGATTTAATAGCATATCATCAAATGACATGGATGAATTTACTCCGAGATATTTGATGTCAGAGCTAAATGACAATTCAACTTTCGTCATGAAACGCGTAAAAAATAGAGACGGAACGAAAGAACAAAAGCTTATGAATGCGGATGACGTAGATAGGGAAATTGTTGAAAACGGTCTCGGAATATATGAAATGCCAGCAGATGAGGTACAAGAAACTCCACAGGAAGAAGTTCAGATACAACCAGACATGGAAGAAATAGTTCAGCAACAACAGCTAGAAGAGCCTGAAGGAAACGAACAAGTCACTCCTTTGGAAACTAACTTCACAGAACTAGATGAAGATTTGGAACAGCCGAAAAATCTTGACCCTCAACAAGAGTATGCGGAGAATATGGAATATTTCCAAGAGCTAAAAAAATTCGGCTGACATAGTAGAAGAATATCGAAAAATGTTTGCCGACATACAAAAGACTCCAGCACCAGATGAAAATATTCAGCATAGAATGGAAGTACTGAAAGAAAATGTACACAAATACAACAACCCTTTTTACTTACGAGCATTTAACGTTCAATCTTCGGATGAACTCGGTGAAAATAAAAGGTTAAATTTCAAGAAAACATATAGAAATGAAACATTGTTTAAAGTTCATTCAGAACCTAACCAAGATGGAAACAAAACCTACTTTTGTTTCTGCAGACGATGGAACTACAATGAGATGGGGTCATAAAGCTAATCCAGATAGGTGGTTCATAAACTTACAACCACAATTCCAAGAAGTTGTAGACGCAATGGAAGTCAATGGTGAACGAGACATAGCTGTATTTTAAGCGCGGCTTTAATGCCATTGAAAGATATGAAAGATGCAGATATTTTGGACCAGTATGAAATGAACATGGCTGATGGAAATATAACACCTGACGTTCTAGAACATTTATCTCAAAGAACTACACAGAACCATAGAGATGGTATATTTGGTGAAGAGTTTAGAAAGAAAGTTAGGGAGAGAGAAGGAAGAGAAACCTATTGTACATGACCTTGCAAACGAAAGTTTACAAAATGTCATAAAAACTTACTTTGCAGACAATGAACTGAGAAGGGATGAATATTTAAGAAAACTCAAATGGACAGTACCAAATGAATGTTAGTATTGAAAAACATGTTCCTTGACAAAATAAAACCAACTACAGAAATAAACGACGCAAGACTGAAAGATTGGGTAAAAGCTTTCCCATTCACAAAAGATATAGTTGGTAACATGGAAAGAAAACCAGAATGGTTACAAAAACATATATTTGGAAACGAGCTTATTCCATATGGACAGGCACTGTTTGAAGAGCTTGAACCGGAAACTCAGGAAAGAGTCATGCAAACAATACGCGACGACTCAAATACAGACTATGACAAACTCTTTCTAGGATATAGGTTACCTGAGATGGGCGACCAGAGCCCAAAGGCAAAAAGGACATGGGAAATTTACACATACTAGGTTGAACATGAGGCAAAGATGCAACAACTTGAAGCAGAGGGCAAGTTACCAAGACGACACCAAAGAAGAAGAGTTGGAGAAAGTAGTGAAGAAGTAACTTCATCTAGTGAAAGTAGTGGCAATGAAGGAAAAAGAAGAGTTAAAAACTCAGTCAGGAAGAAAGTAAAGCTTGGTCCACGTGGGTTCTATTATGACATATAAATCCAACTATTCTATATTTTTACTCATATGAAATGTACGCCGCTCAGAATATAACGCCAACAGTTTTGGATGCTATGAATGGAAATGTTTCCGAATGGTATAACGAATGCGACAATGCCATTAGAAGGTCAGAAATAGTTCCTGGAACTTACGAATATACAACTGCTGTTTCTTATGGAAACGTAGGTGAGTTTGGAGAAGGTTCTTCAACAACAGTAGATATTGCTTGCGACAGGTTTCACATTATTTCTATTGACAACTCATTCTATATACGTGGAACAAGACATTGAAATAAAACCTTCTGCCAAGTTGTCTGACAAGAAAGGTTGCAATGGAATTTTCTATGTCGGATACCAATATGCTCCAGAAGTTTTCATGGGATATAAGATATATTCTAACTCTGACTTAGTTCAAACAGTAACATGGGCAAACTATGAATGGTTCGCTTTGAGAAACTCAGTACAACCACAAGCTAGAGAACAAAACAGACCAGTATGCAAATATTGAGAAAATAAGAAGATTGACCCTAACGTTCCAGGAGTTTATGTTAACCTTTTGCTGAAACTGCAGCAGCAGTAACCAAAGTAAAAACTGAAACTTAGAGTTTCCTTTGTCATCTTTCCTCATCTTCAGGTTTTTAAGATACTTGCCAAACTGGGCAGGAAAAATTTCTATCGAACTTACTCCAAGCAAAAATAACTTAGTCATTGCACCAACACAAGACCCATTCACTCTTACAGAAGTAGTGGAACAAATAAAATGTCATTCGCCGACTTTTGCAAAAACAAAGTTGACTTAGACTTTGGTTTCTCAAACCTCAACACTGAAGTAAACTATTATTTCAATGCTGCTGGAGATGCTTGGGACCCAGTTAAGTTCACATGCGAAAAATTTTGAATGCAAGAAATAGAAAGCAGACTTGCAGTCTATATGTTGGACCCAGATATTTCAAATGCTTTAGCTGCCAAATATATTGCAGTTCCACTTATGTTCCCTATACACCAAATATCTGTCAAAGACTTTGCAGGTGAAGTTGGAAACCAAAGTGCTGACCCAGTGCAAGAACAGATATTGCTTTAACAACTGCAATGAAACATGCAGATACTCTGTTTGTACTGTTCAGACGAACTATAAATGACTATTCTTGTTTCTACAACCCTGGTATTAAATATCATATAAACATAGATGGCAAATATTATCCAAGAGAAGAATATTCTACAGTTGAGGATATGAGGTCATACAACTTGACATTAGATGCTATGAACTTTAACAACAACTTCACAACAACCATTAACCCTGAAATGCAAAGTTCTATTATGCCATATGTGAAAGTATGGACTCATACAGGAGGTCAAAAAACTCAATATACAAATGGAGACCGTTCAAACTTTTGGCTTGGCATTCCATTTGCTGACTCAGAAGACTTTATGGGTGGTATTTCAACTGTTGGTACAGTTCAAATACAATATACTGGTGACAGAGACGTCCAGATGAATTGAAAGCAAAGAAGTTTACAAAACCAATAGCACTTTTCACGGAAGATGCTCTTTTGAAGATTCGTTCGATGAAACCTGCGGGCTCCTCAGATTGGTATAACGACAGCTTCCATCGAGCAGATTTTGGCAGCAGTCAGTAAGTTGTTCTTGAACTGACTTCTCTCCGTCAAATATTGACAGTACGCCAGTTTTGATATAATATTGTATTATAAACTTACCTTTAGAAAATATCGGTCAGTTTTGTTGTTATATTTTTGTCTGCTTCAAGAACTTTCACCATCTCGGTTAATACCAACTTTCTTGCTTTATGAAAATATTTTGGTTCAGCAAAGACTGCTATTCTATACATTTTCCATTGTTTGTGTAAAGAACTACTCTGTCAATGAACTTGTATTGTTGTGTGTTGTAAACTTTGTTTTGCTTCAATTCGAAGATATACTCAAATACGTCCATCTTTTTATTCTAAGTAAAATGTCATTTCCGAAAAATAGAAGCGTAAGTGTTTCAAAAGGTTTAATGGCGATGGCAGATGTGAAGTTAAATTCACCAACTCAAACAAACAGTCAAAGTGTTGTTGTCATGTCAAAGAAAGAGATGTTGAAGTGGGGAAACCATACGAAGACGAAGATGGTATAGCAATTGTTCCTGTAAAAGAACAACCAACATATCCTGAAGTTAGCAGAGACTTAAGTTCTGTTGCAGAATATTCGAAACGACTACCAACAACTTAAAGACAAACTTCAAACTCAGGAAAGATTTGTCAAGCTTTAAGTATAATGTTAAACTTGGTCGAACACAACCCTGTAAAAGTGAACTCATATGTCATTGCACCTCATGAAGTTTTGAAAGAACTATTGAAACTTTTGACAGAGGCAGACGATATAAACATCAAAGAAATAGAACCCGACATTGCTTGCTGTGGTGTTTCATACAATGTCATTGACAAGATATACGTTATGAAAGGAGGTGAGACGTTGAACTTAAAATATAGTTTCCCAGACGTCATAAAAATATTTGACGACCACAACATTTCATTAAAATTTTAGTTGCTAAGTAAATGGCAGAAGACACAATGGTTTTATACTATTACGACTAAAAACCCTGAGTCATATAATTCTATAACAACAAACTTACAAAGTCCTCAAGGACGATATTGTAAACTAACCTTAAACACAATGACGACTAAAAGCCTGTTTTGCTCTTTTGACACCAGAAGACTTTATTGTTGTGAATGGTAAAAAATACTCCTTTGAAGATACTTACTCAGATATACACCAACAGGTTTTGTTGACTTATTTAATACTTTAAGGACGAGTGTAACATGTGCTGCAACTAGAGCAGGTTTCATTATGTTTGGATGTCCGACTGAGTTTACTATAAAAATATGAAGCTATAATACAAAACTTATATCTGGTTTTTTACTACCAACAGTTTCCTATAACAGGAAAAGGTGTCATACAAGGAATGTCTGTTCCATTGACTTTAAGCACACCTATTTTAATATATTGTTTCAAACTTAGGTTCAAAGTGTTATCGAATGTCGACAAAACTACTATGACCAAAAGATACTTATGCGTATAAACAATACTTTCTCTGCTGGTTTGCCTATTGTTCATTCGAATGCAGAATTTTCAACCTTAGTGAACTCAAAACACTTTGGCAAGTATAACGTTGACATTAGTTGACGCAAACTTTGTTCCTGTAAAACTTTTATGTCCTATGTATTTTGTCAATGACGGCAGAAAGTTTCGAATTGGAAGATGCAACTGGTGAAAGTATTGTATTACAAGAACAACTTCAACAACAAATAGCTCAAGAACAACAAATCAACAAATGGAACAACAAAGTCAAGAATAAAAAAATAATATTTTTTTATTTTTATAAAATGTACAGAATAGATGTTTCAGATTTTTAATGACTTCCAAGCATTCAGAAATATGTGTCCATTTCGAGACTATAACAAAGCAGTCGAGAATTTGAAACGTTTAGTCATTTAATGTCGACTCTGCCCCAGAATGTTATGTCATGAAAGAATGGGATGTTGTCTTTAACAAACCAAGAGCGACAATAGTTTCAGAACAAGAATGTAGACAGAAACTTAAGAAAATAAAGTCGTACAAGTTGGCATGAAGATGTTAGATGCTTGGGATATCTTATTGTCAAAACTTGAAGATTTTTCAGTTCGTGGTATAAAGTTTTATACACCTTCTCCAAACTTCTATTCTATCTCACTGGATATAAATATGAACAAGTAGAATGGAAAGAAAATATTATAGAAGCTTGGTTAGACCATCAAGAAATTTATGCAATGGAAACGAAAGAGTCTATGAGTATATCTTATGTTGGTTTGCAAACATCTTACAACATCCAAGTGCTAAAAATGAAACTGCTCTCATTATAATTGGAAAACAAGGAACTGGTAAGAATACTTTCTTTACAGATATTTTGTGCAAACTGTTAGAAGGTTATTCGAATCCGAATATGACAAACTTAGAAAACATCTGCGGTAAATTTAACTCTTCAATAGAGAATATGAAACTTATAGTATGTAACGAACTTCAAAGTATAGATACAACAAAGGTTTTAAACTCAGATGCTTTGAAGAGTCTTATAACAGACAAAGTTGGAGTTGTTGAAAGAAAATATAAAGACCAAAGAGTTTGTGAAAATGTTGCAAACTTCATTATGGTTTCAAACAATACTGTTCCGATGAAGTTAGAAAGTTCTGACAGAAGATATGTAGTTGTCAGAACGTCAGATTCTCATATGCAAGATACAGAATATTTTGACGACTTAGCAGAAACTTTGACATCTGACTTTTACAACCACTTGTTCTCATATTTCATGACATTAGATATTTCTAAGTTCAATCCAAGACAAATTCCACATACCGAAGAAAGACAAACATTGTTAGAAGCAAACAAGAGTGTATATGAACTGTTTATAGATGAGACTAACTTTGAGTGTTTAGATGAAAGGTCATTGTACGATTCGTATAAACAATATTGTCAAGAATATGGTTATATGGCAGCTTCTAAACGTACATTCTTGGCAAATGTCAAAAATCTTTTAGATGTTCAGAACGGCGTATATACAAAGAAAAATTTTTCTGAGTAAATTTTAAAAAAAATATATATTTTTATTTTATTTGAAATGTACGCTGAGTTTGTTGGAGAAGACCGTTGGGAAACTTGTTTGTTAGATGAGAAATATGAAATTCACTGTTGTGAGTCATTTGAAGTCAGAAACAAAAAGACAAAAAGAGTTTTAAGCGAATGGGAGCGAAATGACGGATATGCTATTATGAAGATGAGTGGAAAACACTATTTTAAACATGTTGTCATTGCAACTCATTTTATACCGAACCCTAACAATTTACCTTTTGTAGACCATATAAACCATATAAGAAACGACAATAGACTTGAAAACTTGCGTTGGGTCACTCGTTCTGAAAACAATAAGAACAAAGGCAAATTTGGAGATATAGTATTCGAATTTGTCGACGAACTAGAAGATGAAGCAATTGAAATTACAGACTATGGTAAGCATACGTTTGAGTTTTACTACTATAGCGAAGAACAAGACTCTTTCTACTTTTATACCGGCGTAAAATATAGGAAATTACAAGTATATTTTACTAAGGCAGGCTATGCTTATGTAAACACTAGAGATACAGATGGAAAACACGTTCGAATACTTCTTAACAAATTCAAGAAGCTATATGGCATACCATTTTAAAACGTTTTTTTTAAAAAAAATATTTTTTTATCCGATAGAAAAGATGATGAAATTCATCTCAGTCAACAAGTACATGACAGAAGTCAAAGAAGAACTAGACCCATTCGCTTATTTGAATGTTTACTTCTACCATTTTGAAAAGTCTACATATGACAAAGTTTGGAACATCGAACCCGTTAAGTTTGCTATTGTGACTAAAAATGGTGCGAAATTTGAAGACTTATACATTGACGGTATGTTGACAGTCAAAGAAAATTTTGACAGAAAGTTCTCAAAACTCGAAGAAGGTAAAGCATACAAACTTGTTATACCTTATGAACCAAAGAAAGCAGACGACTATGAATATTATGAGTCTAAGATAGTTGAAGTTCAAGGTAAATTGGGTAAAAAGATTTTAGAGTCTAAGCCAGTGTTTGCTCCTAAAGAGGAAGACATTGACATTGACCCAGAAATGTTCTAAAAATAAAATTTTATTTTTACATGTCATATCTCACCTTCTCTGGAACTGGTTCTGGTTCAGGTTCTTTCTTCTCTTCTACTTTTTTCTCTTTCTTTCCTTTCTTCTTCTTTTCTGGTGGAGTTATGTCAAATTTCTCAGAACCATATTTCTGTAAAAGTTCTTTGTCCTTTAATAGCTCTTCTATTCTGTTTTCTATTTCATCTTCAAGAACAGCGCATGTGTCTTCTTTGCATTCTAAGAACTTTTGTTGGACTTCATCTTTCCAAGAGGCGTCATCTCTGTCAACAAGTCTGTCATTGACAAATTTTAAGACTTCTCTGCTTAATGTTTTATGGTTCTTGTCATATTCCCAGAAACAGAACTTTAGAACAAATTCACCTTTCTTGTTTACACTATGTAAGATTTTATGGTCGACAGATGTTTTGCTGTCAAAAAGTTTGTCTCGAATATAGATAGCGAAATCGCTAGACATTTTCAAAAAGATAAAAATTTTAATTTTTCTAAAAATATGTTAGAAAAAAAGTTTGCTGACATTGACAAGAAATTTGAGAATGTTTTAAACAAGAACAAGAGGAAGTTAGAAAATGCTCAGATAAAACCTATACATGAAAAGTTCTTATTTGCTCAGAATGGTATAACAGGTCTAATCGCACCACCTGGGTCGGGTAAGACTTTCACTTATCTTAAAATGGCTGCACAACAACAAGAACTAGATGAGAAGAACCCATTCTATGAGTTAGTAGTCATTTGTAGTACTTCTGGTCAATTTGACCAAACCGTAAATTCGTTCAAAGATATTATAAAAAAGTCTAAGTTAGTATGTATAAAAGATACTGAGTTGTTAGATTGGATAAAGAAGTACCAAAGAAGAGTTTTGAAGTATAATGCTATAAATGAGTATATAAATTCTAAGTTTAAAGACCCAAATGAGGAAATGCAGAGAATATTAGAGAAGAAACACTTCAGAAACAAACAGAAAGAGATAGAATACATTTCGAAGAAATTGCAATCTTACGATTGGAAGACTTACCCTCACAGATGTCTTCTTATCTTAGATGACTTTGCTTCTCATCCTTTGTTAAAGAACAGAGAACAAGATATGTGTCGAATTCTTAAGAAGCTCAGACACTTTAACATCTCAGTTGTCATTTGTGTACAGACAGCAAAGAGTTTAAGTAAGGATGTTAAAAGAATACTTACTGACATTATACTTTTCCCGGATTGTCCGAAGACGATTTCATGGAACTTATGAAAGAGTCCATGGCAGGTAAGTTTGACAGACATGAACTATGGGAGAAGTACAAAGTCATACAAGACCCTCATACTTCTTTCAGAATTCATATCTACGCGAACAAAGTTCAAATTGTAAAAAGTCAAGCTTGAAAAATAAAGAGTTTTAGTCTTAGTCTGTTGTGGTGCTGGGGCTGTCGGTTCTTCTGGCTTTGGAATGGACTCGGTTGGTGGAACGTCAGTCATTCGTTTGTGTCCTGTTGGAAGGAAAAACTTTTCCTGTTGGAAGGAAAAACTTTTCCTGTTGGAAGGAAAAACTTTTTCCAGTTGTCGGGAAAATATTTTTCTGTCGGAAGGAAAAACTTTTCCTGAAGTTCGACCAAAAAGTTCTCAATTTTCGAAAATTTGAATGGTTTACGGACGAACAACAGGAAATTTTTTTCCAGTTGTCGGGAAATTTTTTGCCTGTCGTCGGGAAAAACTTTTTCTGTCGGAAGGAAGGACTTTTCTTGTCGGAAGGAAGGACTTTTCTTGTCGGATGGAAGGACTCGGAATGCCAGAAGGATTTGACAAGACAATTTACCATCTAGAGCTACCTGAGCCATCTGAAGTCAAGCGTAAAAATAAATGGCTCATCTACCCTACTTGTTTGAAGTTGTCAAAATACTCTGTTATTTTTTCCTTTAACAATGGCAAGTCTTCTTTGAATGTAAGTATTGTACAACCTTTCATATCATAGTGTGTTTGAGGTAACGTATCTTGAACTATTTGTTTCACATCTTCATTTGGGGTCATTGAAATCGGTAAGTTTTCGCGATAGAACCAATTTCTGTCAGATTTGTAAATCTTAGCAAGGTCGTAAAAGCTTTTGTTGTTTCTTCTGACTAAATGCAACATAACCATATCTTTATCTTCTTCATTTTCCATCTCTTCAGTATAAATCATATACTTATAGTTCTTTTCCTTTCCTTTTGGTACCGAACGTGGTATTCTTTTCTGAATGCTTTTGTCTTTTGCTTCAAGCTTGTTCTCTAGCTCTTCACGTTCTTGTCTATGAATTTCGTCAAGAAGTTTGTAAACATGCCATGCATAACGAGGAGAAGCCCATATTGCAACAGCATTTACTAAAAGTCTATGAACATACCAGCCTCTTAAATTTATTGGCAAATTTTTACGATTTTCATGTGTTTTATGCAAGACCGGTTTTTTACCTACTCGCTGTTCTTCACTGTTTTCATGTGTTTTAGGCAAGACCGGTTTTTCTCGGTCTAGAGAAATTTCACTCAAAAGTTCTTGTGTGCTTTGGTTTCTGAACCAGTCGTCTGCGTGTTTAGTATCTGGTGCAAAACATGCTGTCAAAATACTTTGCATTTGGTACATATCGTCTTTGACCGAACGAATGAGACGTAACTGTTTGTTATACTGTATGTACTCATATTCTTCATTTATAGCTTCATGAACGATAGCAGTTGTTGTGTTCTCTGTTGTTGTCATATCTGTTCTTACATACAAAATAAAAAAATAAAAAAAAATAAAATTAGCGTTATTTTCTGACTTTCACAAAAGACCAAAAATAAACGCTTTACATGTATTTTTCAGCAACTTCGTCAAATAATTTTATAGCTTTACCTATCTCATCTACTTCAAACGTTTCCCTACCTTTCGTGGGAGCACCATACATTTTCTCAAACTTTTCAAGTAGTTCTGTTTCAGCAGCTCTCATATCATTTACAAACACAACCCTGACTCTATTGACTATACTGTCATATCTTTGAGTTATATTAAATGTTCTTCCTATCTTATATCTTTTTGTATTGAAGTCCTTCGGTTTCTGAACGATGTAAAGTAAGCCTTCACTGCAACGTTCCGTATCGAACGAACCATATGTTATGAAATTATATCCAACAACTGGGTCTAACCATAACAAAACTATTGGTATAAGACTTTTGTCTATAAGATATGCTGTAGTTCCATAGAATCTTACCGATATCATAAGCTCAGGATTTCTTGTCAAAATTTTCTGAGTAGAAGCAGTTCTAACCCAGTCGTGGGATGTTTTCTTTCCAGATAGTGTTAGAATGTCTGACAAAGAATATTTGTTGTATTTCTTTGAGTATCTTACGTTTAAATCACCAATTCTAACCACTTTGGTGTCATTGTCTATCTTTTTAACTGTTTCAAACTCAGTGTTTAACATTTCCTGTTCTTACATACAAAATAAAAAAATTTTTTTTAAAAAAACTAACTTTATTTTTTCTATCTTAAGGAAATTCATGATTTTCATACGGAATCTCTACCCTCGGTTTTCCTCGGGTAGCAAACATATGAGGAAATTCATGAAATTTGGTCATTTTTCGACAAAAATAATGTTTATGTTAGAATGTTAGATCTAACATGTTTTCTAACACGTTTTCTAACATGGTCTAAAACACACAAAACTCATGAAATTTCATACGGAATTCAGTAAAAATAATGTTTATGTTAGAATGTTAGATCTAACATGTTTTCTAACACGTTTTCTAACATAACTATTTACAAGCGTTTTACATGGTATATGTTGCGATGGTTCATGACTCTAAACAATTTTGTAGCTTCTATTTCTTCTGTCAGTACATCGAATGTTTTAACGATACCGAAAGTTTCTTTATACTTCTTTCTTGACATCAGATAGAAGGAAATCTTCTGCAGTTGGATAGTTTTTGTTCAGAAATGCTAACATGTCCATTTTATCTTCTGCTGGCTTTTCTGCTTCTTTCTTTAAGTCTGCATAGTCGTTTCTCATACGTTCTATCTCTTTGACGGAGTAGTTATATTTCCTCATTGCTGCTTTACATTTAGAACATTGCGGGTTCATTTTTGCGTTATATTCTGAAACCTTACCTGCTAGTATGACTAAGGCGTCAATGGTTTTCTTTAACTCAAACATAGCGGGTTTTATCTGTTCATTCCATATCTTACCTCTTCTATCTTTATCTCTTATCTGCCATACACATTCAGCAACTAACGAAACAAAGTTGTCGTAGGTCTTAAACTCCCCGGATTTATATATGTCAGAGATGTTCTTATATACCATATCGCAATCTTTGTCCATGACTTTGTGGTTGCAATGAAATCCTAGAAACTCATAGTTTACCTTTCGTATGAACTTCTTTATTTCTACTGAGTCGGTTGCTTTGACTTCTATTTCATCGAATTCTGGAATAGTGAGTTTTTGCTGTTGGATTTCAGGAAGTTTAGGTAGATGGTCAATAATGTCCTGCATGTCGTAAAGATACTGTTCATTTTGTTCATCTTTCGCACAACAGTCCAAAGTACTTGTTAAAAGTTCCTGCTTTATCTTCTGGATTTCTGTTTCGAAAGTATATGAAGAAGGAATGAAGCTTTTCATTTCTACTAACATTGACGTAGGATTCATGACTAACGAGTTTGGTGCTGTAGTTGCTAACATGTTCTTACAATAAAAATAAAAAATATTTTTTTAAAAAAACTAACTTTATTTTTATGTTTTTTGTGAAAGTGTCAAAATTCATGAATTTCGAGAGTTTTCTACGATGTTAGAAAACGTGTTAGATCTAACATGCTAACATAAAATATATTTTTTGGTGGTACGTCGGACATTGTCTTGAAACAGTACAAATATTGTTCTGAAACAGTACAAATATTGTCTTGAAACAGTACAAATATTGTTCTGAAACAGTACAAATATTGTTCTGAAACAGTACAAATATTGTCTTGAAACAGTACAAATATTGTTCTGAAACAGTACAAATATTGTTCTGAAACAGTACAAGACTAGTTCTGAAACAGAACAATGGACAACATCGAGCCATTCATGAAATTTCAAGAGTTTTCTACGATGTTAGAAAACAGGTTAGAAAACAGGTTAGATCTAACCTTCTACCCTAAAATATATTTTTGGTGTAAATTTCATAAAAATTCAAGAGTTTTAGACCATGTTAGAAAACATGTTAGAAAACATGTTAGATCTAACATTCTAACATAAAATATATTTTTGGTGTAAATTTCATGAGTTTTCTACGATGTTAGAAAACGTGTTAGAAAACGTGTTAGATCTAACCTTCTACCCTAAATTATATTTTTGTCGAAAAAAATGGTTCATTTACTCACAATATTTTTGTACAAAACAACCCCAAGCTTTTAACTTCTTTTCTGCAGCTTCTAATGAAATTTTAGCGAGTTCATATTCTCTAAATTCTCTCTTTAAATCTTCTTGTTCCCATTGGTCTAGTTCGTATGGAGAATCTCTATAACCAGAACATATCTCACGTTCATGTTCTATTTGTTTTTCATGCATTTTTCTAACTTCTTGTTCGAACAAAGGTTTTGCATTCTCTACTGTATCTTCAAGTTCTTCTTCATCTAACTTCTCATGAACTTTCTTGTCTATGGAGTCCATAATTTTTCCAACTGCTATACAATATTTTGGAGAAGCCCACATTGCTATATAGTTTACAAGTCTTGGGTCTACATACGTTCCTCTAACCTGTTTGATTTCATCAGGAATTCCTGCATGAACTGTGTATAAAAAGCAACCCGCGGAATTCCGCGGGTTGGTATATTCTTCACAAAATGCCTTAAAATACTCTTCCCAGGACTTATTTTCCAACAACCTTCTAAAGTCTTTCCTAAACTGCTGACATATCTTTGTTGCATTTATATAACCATCCTTGTCTCTACGTAAGACTTCAATACCGTTGTAAGTGCCTTTTGTGAATGTTTCGCCATTAGATTTGTTCGTGAACGTTTTTGCTTCGACTGTCATTTCAGTTCTTACAATAAAAATAAAAAATATTTTTTGGTGGGACGTCGGACATTCGTTTGTGGCTTAACCGTCGGACCACAACGATAAAAATCTCTGCTACTAGCAGTACTGCTACTGACAGTAGCAGTACTTTTACTGACAGTAGCAGTACTTTTACTGACAGTAGCAGTACTTTTACTGACAGTAGCAGTACTTTATCGTCGAAAACCCTCTCAAATTTTCCTTTTTACTGCAACTAGCAGTACTTTTACTGACAGTAGCAGTACTTTTACTGACAGTAGCAGTACTTTTTCTGACAGTAGCAGTACTTTTACTGACAGTAGCAGTACTGCTAGTAGCAGAGATTTTTATCGTCCAACTTTACAAATGTAAACTCCTATCGTTCTATTTTCTTCACTAGGGTCTAACACCAAAGTAACCTTACAAATGTAAACTTATATCGTTCTATTTTCTTCACTAGGGTCTAACACCAAAGTAACCTATGTACATGAAATTTCACTGCATAAAAGGAAAAAACCTGCGCGAATCGGGATTTGAACCGAGGTCTTCGACGTCTGTAGCGAGGTAGCCCATACCACTGAGCTATGAGCCGCTTGCATATTTTTAAGTAAAATATAGTATATTTGTCATACAGTGAAGGATGACCAAACTTAAAAAAAATAAAACTAAAATATATTTTTTTCTATCTTAAGGAAATTCATGAAAATTCAAGAGGGTAGAAAAGAGGTTAGAAAAGAGGTTAGATATAACCATCTACCCTAAAATATATTTTTCAATACTTTTTCAGCACTTTCCGTAGTTGTATATGAAAGACAATTCGAGATAAAAGTCATAGTACAATGGTATTATATGCTGCACACCATTTGTTGTGAACCAAACTTGAAAGTCAGAGAAAACTGTTACTAGGTGGTTCGTAGAATTTAGAAGCAAAGTCATAAAAGTCCTTACCGATACAAAGAAAACTATTGTTGCTTGAACTGAAACTTGCATGACACATAACATTTTGAGGGTCAAACACGTTTCTATAAACTGTCAAATCTGTTGGTGGGCGTATAAATTTAAACGGACCGTCAGGTGGCAATGGTTCGTTCTGGTTTAGTAACCGAAGAAATTGTGCCCAAGAACGTTTGTCTACTTCCCAAAATAAAAACTGTGTATCTCTTGGAGGGTTATTTTCAATCCTATGAAATGAAACTGTGGAGTTCATCTTGTCATATTCTAGTTTCAGATAGTATGTTCCATTTAGTAAAGAGTCGTATTTTTCTTGCAATTCCCAATAATATTTGTTCATTTGAGTTTGAAAGTCATTTAGAGTCTTCTCAAGGTTTTCGTCTGAACGAATTGTAAAGATTCTCATTTCATCAAATTTGTCTATTAGACCATCAGAACCTCTATACTGCCCATGAAAATATACTGCGAACATAAAAGCGTTCGTTCTTTTTGAAAACAAAACTCTTCTAAATCCTATTGCCTTTGCATCTGAAGGACTTTGAAGCCAACGAATTGGATAGTCAAACCTGTAAGTACGGGATGAAATTTCTTCATCTGATATTGCCCTACCAGCATTTGTAAAGATATAGTCTAACGGTTTTGTATCTGCTACTTTTGTTCTTTGTTTTTCAACCTGAAACATTTAATATATGTAAAAATATATTGTTTTAAAAAACGTTTTAAAATGGTATGCCATATAGCTTCTTGAATTTGTTAAGAA